TTGATTGATTGATTGACTGACTGGTGTCTGGCTTCAAAAATGACAGCAGCAGACGGTCTGCTTGATCTGGCATGCTGTGAATTCTTGATTGGGATCTTGGGAGTTTTTAGATTTTGTCAACACCTTGCTGTTTTTATGGTGAGGCAAGCCACAACATCCTACAGGAGGAGCCTGCTGGTGTACTCCAGAGGGGTATGTATGCTCTGTCATAGTGCATCTTAAAGTCACTCAAGTAATTAACAAGAATGTCAGGACCCTTAATGCATTGTAAGAGGAAGAAAAATATTATTTACTTCCTGTCACTTTCATATATTGGTATTTAAGTAATTTAATTAGATCCTATTTTTACCTTTTGAGATGGGTCATCATCCAGCTGTTGAAATCTTCTTTTTACTGTGCGGCCTGATGAGGTCACAGTGACTTGGGAGATAGGCTACAAGAGATGGAAAGCATAAACTTTACATTTTCTGAAATTATAAACAATACGCATACAGTTCACCTCTATAGAAGACTTCCACCTCTGTTGTAGCCAGGCTGATTTATTGTACAAGGCTGATCCATCGCAGGCCAATTAAATTTATTCAGAAAGCAAAGGACAGCAACTAAAAATCTCAAGCAAATAAATTTTACACTTACATTGTTTCGGTGGGTTTTCAGGGAGAAATCCTCAACGACCTTAGATGGCAGAGCACTGTTCAGTTCACTGAGGATTTTTAGGACACTGGAATATAAAAAAAACAAAACACAAATATTGTACAATAAGTATATTTGGCAAATAAGATAATATGATGATGTTAAATAAATACCGGAGCACTCACTTTATGGTGACAGGTCCCACATGGATAATTCTTCCTGAATCATCAGGATGAAAGAAGATCCCATCGTTCTCAAGAGAGTATGAGTCCATCTCTTGTACTCCGTTTGTTGCCTAATTTAATAAAATCAGAAAGCAAAAGATGCAGATTTCTTACAGTTTCTAATTAGCACACAACTCAAAGGCTCTTTCCATCAGGTCTGTTTTCTTGACAAAAAGGTCAAGATGCAAAGAGCAGGTGAGAAAGACAGGAAGTCAGATACAACAAAAAAACAACAGTGCAGAACATTGTAACAGACCCACGACCGACACATTCCCAAGGTTACATTAGTGGACAGTCTAAGCCTATGTCCACACGTACATGGGTATTTTTGAAAAGATTTTATGATTCTATCTGTTTGGGCCTTTCGTTCACATGTAAATGGTGTTTTATGTCACTGAAAACAGAGATTTTTTTTTTAAACTCCTGCCAGCGTGGAGATTTTTGAAAACTCCCTTTTTGCATTTAGGTGTGGACGAGGAAAACGGAGATTTACTCACGCAACATCAAAGGTGTGCACCGCTTTTGATGTCACACTGTTATTGTTTAAACGGGATTAATGTCTATAATGGCGGACATAGACGAAATACTATTGCTGTTAATCTGACTATCTGCATTTTTAACACTCTTACATATACAGGCGCAGTTTCTGTCCCTCCATTTAGAAAGACAGGCGTCAGAGAGAACTTCGGATGTGGCTTCTACATTTAACACAGACGCTTTCACAACCCAAATCCAGATGTTGGTTTTGAATAAATTTAACTTTCAAGGTCCATTTTTAAGCTTTTCCAGCACATTACTAGAAAAAAAGAAAAAAAGAATACATGTTCCGCTTATCATCACCTCAGTAAGGCCAAGTAAAAATTAAAACAAATCATT